CCATCATGGGTTTTTAATTTGAAGAAAAATGTCAAATTTGAGAAAAATGACATTTTAACAAATTTGGGCTTAAAGTTTATAAAAAAAAGTTATTATTATTGTGGGCTTGGGCTCCCATGGCCAGCCCCCACTCCTAATACCCACATATAAAAATCCTTATTTCTCCATTTTCAACTCATTATCTCATTTTCAAAATATGAAACTCTCTCCCTCTCCCTCTCCCTCTCTAAACTCAAGAGACTCTCAAGGTTACTTTATTCATCCTTCATACTCCAGCAAATTTCTTTATATTTCTTCATCAAAATAGCAAGGATTTGAAGATATTACATTCCTTACATCAATAATCAATGTAACATCTTCATCTTCCTCTTTTTCTTGCAAATTTTGGGAGAAAAACCCACTTTTTATGCATTTCTATTTACTATCTTCTAACCTCCGAAAATTCTGAGTTTTAAGGAGAGATTACACACCAAAAACATGTAAAAATATTCATATGATGGTGGTAATCTATGACCCAAACATTAGAACTCAAGTAACTAGGTAAAATCATGTTGCATGTGGGTCTGTTTCTTAAAAATGGTATTTTTTGGTGCTGACAGATTATGTGCATGTGCACAAATCGTCTATATCTTGAAAATAATATCTTCAAAGGTTATGAATCTTCTTCTAAAAGTTTATTTATTGAGTTGGGTTGTAATACAATTGGTCTCACTCAAAAATATTGAGTTTTGACTCCCCAAATACTCAAAACATTATATATGTGCATCTAACAATTTTTCAGTAGGTAAACCCTATTTTAAACAGTCATAACTCTCTAAATAATCATTCAAAATCATTGATTTTTCTTCTGGAAGTTAACTTAATGAGTTACCTTTCAAATTCCACTGATTTCATTCAAAAATGTGGTGATTTGAGGTTTTAACTACTCAAAACAAAGTGAGCATGCAATCTGTCCGAATCTGACAGATTTGTATATGTATGTTCCAATGGCCATATCTCTTTCAAAACTAGATGAAAAAGGATGATTCTTCCTTTGCGAGTTAAATATATAAGTTATCTTCTGCATGCAAGTGGAATCACATGAAAATATGGAGTTTTGTTCTCCAAACACCTAAAACACCTTAGGTGTGCAAACTGTGAAACCACCAGTAGGTAACTCCTACTTTGTATGCTAATATCTCTTTATTTACTTGCTCTTAGTGTATGATTCTTCTTCTAAAATGTTTTCTAATGAGTTAGGGTTCATATGAACCCAGTATCACTAAAAAATATGAAGTTTTGAGGCATTAACCAATTTAATTAAGTTAAGTGCGCAATCTGTCAACTAATGACGGATGTGTGTATGTAACTTTATGTGYCATATCTTCCTCTCAACTCATCCAAAATGAGTGATTCTTAGTTTAAAAGTTTCATATAAGTGTTAAGTTTATAATCCAACTTGAATTTCTTCATAACACTTAGTAGAACTCTTTAAATAAGTATTTTACTAACATGGTGTAATCTGCCATATCAGTTGTGATATATTGTATTGCATAAATTATTTGAATCATTATTGCATGTTCAAAATGCATAAAATTTGGYCACGATGACCATAACTCAGTGCTATATCTCATATAAAAAGATAGGAAACTATCTCATTTTAGAAGTCTATGAATTGATCATTTTATGTATCATTAGTTTCTGCCCAAAAATGAGATTTTGGGATTATTTGATTTTGTAAATTTTGATCTTTTTATTGGACTATAGCATTACTTCCGGTATAAATTACTACACTAACGAGCATATGGACATTATGTATATTTGKACTAYAGATAATCAAGTTGGATATAAGTAGATACTTATGKACTTAGGACTTATAAATCCCCATAAGTAGTTTTAAACCCATAAGTGATGGTTTTGGATATTCCTCTTTGATAGGGAATCGTTAAGCTCGTGTGGTGACCGGATCGTATCTTTAATTTGCGGAGCATTGCAAAAAAGTGAGTATTCACAGCCCCTCTTTCAAAGTATTTATTACGTTTTGGGGTGAAAAGCACGATTGAATGTGTTATATGAGCTATTT